TATTTATTCAAGAAATTACTGTCTCTCTGTCTCAGTTTATCTTAAAATGAGATCTTCCATGGACATAGTTACCTTTAAAGGGTCTCCATGTTAAATAAAAACTGTGAAATAAGTGTATCATTCAAGAAAATATAACATAGGACAAATTGCCAGGGAAGTGTACCCAAGAAATAGTAAACATATGTTGTACAAATGTCATCAAAGCCAAAGCATGAAATAAGATACCACTTACAAACAGCCTAAAAAGAAACATAGAGATATAGCCATAGATAAATAGATTGATCTACATATCTATGTAGATATAGATATATTTAATAAGAATGTAAAGGAAATTCACAGTATGGACCCTTTATTATATTCTGAAGGAGAAAAATCAGTGACATATGATCCCCCAAACCATGAGAGATTAATGCCTTTAAAGTTGAATTTTAAAAGAAAGGGGAGGGGTAATAGAGGAAATAAGGACTTAGCTAGGAATTAACAACATACAAAATAAAGTTTGAGAGCAAAGAAGTAATTGAGAATTCATCCATTTCATGCATCCCCAAGAGATGAGCTCTCTCCTCTCAACTTTCTATATCAGTTCCTAAAGAATAAATTATATGAGACTAATCCAAAACCCTCTGACCAACGGAAAGAGCCAGTAAACTGAAGAAAAGCAACAGATGCACACTACTTGGCTTTATCTAGTCTAGACTTTTGATTCTCTTCTTCATGGCACACATCTAGATCACATAAGTATGAGGAAAATGCACAACTGGATGAAGCATTTGGAGTCAGTCTGTGGTTTGTACCTTAGAAGATAAGCTCAGAATTAAGAGTCATCTTAATAATTAGAGAAGTGGTCGAAAAGAAGTAAAATGCAATCCAACAACTTCAAGTGCAAGATAAAACAACTGGTAAGGAATAACATAGTAGACAAATCCAAGTTAAGGAATTCATAATTCAACAAATATTTATTATGTGCTTAACTGCTTAGGGAACTATGCTGGCTCTATGGGACATACAATGATAAATTAGATATGCATAAATACTACCGCACAGAAAAGGCAAACTGTAAGTCGTACTGGATAACATTAGGTAACCGTGAGTCAGCAACAGGGCACTGTTGGGGGAAAAACAAACAACTGAATAATACAAAACAATAAACAAACAAAATTTATGATACTGAGAAGACAAAAAAAACATAGACTAAGAAAGCTAAGATAATGTGATAGTGATTAATCAGAACTTTTCAGGCCCTTATTATCTATCAGTCTGGGTCGATTATTAAAGAAAGATCAAATGAGAGCTTCCCAAATAATAAATGGGTTGGGAAATACAGCCAATACAGAGAATTATTTAATTATTTATTGTATTAATAAATTTAATTGTATTGATACAATTGTATTAATAAAATTAATAAATATTAATTATTTAATGTATTGAAGGAGACATGGTTGAAGAAAAGTTTGACACATGTATATGGAAGGCTCAAGAAGTTTGGGATCAACTAGTGAACAATTTCCCTAAAGATGAGACTAGGAAATCAATGAATTTGAATAGTTTAGTTTTAGATATAGAATCATTTCTAGCCAAAAAGTCTTAAAAAGGAATAGATTCTAATTCATCATAGAGGATTTAACTGTAATCTTGGATGAAGATGAATAGGTTACATTTATCCCTGTAGGTCTTCCCTATGCCAAAGGTTCTATGAAAGTATAACTTGTCACATTACCCAACACTATCCTTCATCTGTTCAGTATGAAGAAAATCCTAAGAAAAGGGCAATACTATTTTACAACTGTGAATTCTATGTGAAACTTTAATAAATGTCGAAATAACCATAGATAATGGAATTATTACTTCTCAGCTATTTTACCAAGCAAACTATCTCCATTTTTTTTTAAAAGAGGCAGTTACTCAAATATTTTAAATGAGAGAGACTCCATTCAATGTGCCTGGGGAACTAATGCTATAATACATGGTTCCACTAAGCAAACCATTAACATTCAAATGAGACAAAAGAAAAGAGGGTTAAAAAAAGATCTACCTCCAAAAAACAGTCTAACCTATTCTAAGTAATTAAAGCCTTATAAAACTGGACCTGGCAACAAAGGACCAGTGTCCATTTAATACCAGGCCATCTTTCCCAAGTAATTATTGTAAAAGCATTCTACAGCATCTGAAAAGCATATTACCTTAAAAATGCAATTATCTTCCATGCATTTATTTTCTTATCACGTGTGCCTCTGACCCTACAATGACCTATATGTGATTATGTCCACTACCATCAAAGGACAGCAGCTTTAAGAGAAAAAAAAAATCAACAATGCACTTAGAGTCCTAGGAAGTTTGAGAGTTTAACAAAAGTCTACACATTCTAAAAACCAAAAGCCAATTAGCTAGTAATTGCAAAGGGATGGAAAAGCTAAAAAAGAAACCTTTGGTGTTAACAATTTACCGAACTATTTATATTAACCACTCGAAGTTTTCAACATTCCACTTGGTTAAGGATGGCTATGGGAATTATTGACTCTGTTAATCGGGTCTCTACTACTGTTAAGTAGATTTGCATTCTGGTGGGAATGAACTGCATTCCTGTGAGTCCCTCAGTCTCTTGTTATCCACTTCAGGACACAGAAGCAGCTTTTAAATCCTCGAACATCCTCTTCTTTGAAAACATCATGTTCTCAATTCACATTCAGAAATATATGTATAAAAAGCACAGTTAGAGAAAGTATAACTGGATGAGAAAAGTTCTTAAAAGATATCTAAACCCTTCAAGTCTTAAAAGTTTGAATTGTCTGTGATTTAAAAGGGGGAAAGAAGCTGATTCTTATCAATTAATTAAAAAGAATGAAATAACAGTAAACAAAGGGGAAGTAGAACTAAGAAACTTAAGGAGCTGGAACTCCGGGAATGTAGCTCGCCATTCATTGATGAACAAATTAAGGGGTTCTAGGGAAGAGTGAAGGAGTGACTAGGGATTAGAAAGCAGCCTTCTGAGTCATCACAAGTTGTAGCTTTGAATTGGTAAAGGCTTACTCTGTATAATGAACCAATGCTTCACGCTTGATGTATTGGCATCTTTTTGAAGTGCTGAAATTGGCATAAATTTGCTCATTTAGGTGAAAGACTGAAACGTGCATATAAGTAAATCTATGAACAACGTAATAATAAGGTAACAATCAGTCCTAAGAATGAAAACAGGAGACTTTTCCGTCTCTTCAAATGAGTGACATTGATTTCCCTGGTCGCCCAATTCTTGGTGTGTAAAACTAGGAGAGGCCATTGGCCAAAGCTTCTCTCTTTCTCCCTCTCGAGGTCACCGAGGGCTAGAGTTGACCGATTTGAGCAGCCCGCCACCACTGTACCTCCCCAAGCATCCTCCTGGCCTCTCCCTCTCTTTCTCCCTCTCCGCTCTGTTCCCAGTCACAGGATTATCTCTCCCGGACACGTTTCATTCACTGAGCCCCAGAGATGCACGGATTTGGTTGGAGCTAAGAACCGGAAAACACACGCACGCATGCAGATCAAGTTGTTTGAACCTATGTGTTACACCACATCTCTGTAAAGGCACAGGGGATACAAACATCCTCCCAGTGGAGCAATCTACGGGGCAGGGGGACTAGTCCTGCTGGAAGACTGAAAGCTACATCTCTCCCCAACCCCCACCCCCCCAAAAAAATTGCAGCTGCCCACAAGAGCAAGTTCGCTGTCTTTTCCTACATGTTGAAGAGCAAGGAAAGACTGAGAGTGCCCACGTTAGAGTGCGGAGCCAGGTCTGAGGGTGGCTGGGGTGTTTCCTAACCACGAACTACCAACCGCAATCAGGAGAAGCATAAAGAAACATTCAGGCAAAATCCCGCCCGAGATCCAAAACAGATACTCTATTAAGATAACACCCTCCAAAAAAAAAAAAAAAAATGAAGCCCAAAACTGCAGACATCCGGCAGTCCCGGGGGGCTGGGCGCCGGGAGTCACTGGTGGACAACATTCCACTCTGCCTGGAGACCCAGAGAACGAGAGTACGCTACTCCTCAACCCTATCTCTCCTACACCCGGATCCCGGGAGCCTCTGTGCTCCTCTCTATTATGGAAAAGAGCAGCGGTGTGTGTGTATTGGGGGTAGAGGTAGAGTGTGAGGAGTCAGGGTAGACCTTGTGCATCCTTCCTCCGCCCCAACCCCGGGCATCGCGGAGACCAAGGAGCAAGGAAAGGCGCCACCGAGACTGTGGTTCCTGCAAAGCAACAGCAACAGCAGCAGTAGTTCTAATAAGTTTGCCCAGGCAAAGGCAACTCGGACTCCAAGGTGCTAGTTCAGCGCCCTCTCTAGCGCTGCAGTCGCTCGGGTCTGGCCTCTGCCCCCAGAGAAATGTGACTGACATCCTTCCTTTTGGCACCACGCACTATTCCCCAGGCTCGCGCCTGAAGATGACCAACAATGAAGAAAGAGCGGGGAGAGGAGAGTGGAAGGGGGTGGGGAGGGGGTGCGGGGTGAGACTCGGAGGCATGTGCACACAATGAGGCAGCTTGGAGACCCAACAAACTAGCGGGAGCAGCCCCCGCCGCCTTTCTGTGGCTCGGAGAGTGCAGGAGAAAAAGCCTCGACAGAAAGTGAACACTTTCAACTCAGCAACTGGGGAAAAGAAAGGGAGAGCAGGGACCAGAGACAGGATCTCGCCTCAGGCTGGCCCCAGCCCCCTTCCACCCTTCCTCTGCCCCCTATCCCCGCCAGCACTTACCTGCTATTTCCTGATAGGGTATATTGACCAGGCTGAATCCTTTGGCACTGTAAGCCTGCCTGACCTCACTGCAGCTCCGAGCTTTAACATCCGCCTTGACTGAAAGTGATAGCAGCAGCCCGGTGAAAGAGAAAAGCAGAGCCCCGATCCGAGAAGGCATGGTGTAGCATGCAAATCCAGCTCAGTAAATAAATCCCAGGTCCGGCTCCGTCTTCACCTTGCCCCAAATGTCGGGATGCCTCCGGAGCTAGCAGCGCCCTCCCCCCACCTCCCTGTCCCCTTGCCCACCCCCACCCCCCGCTGCCAGTGGAGGGGATGAGCAACCCAGACCTCTTGCACAGCTCTCAACAAACTTTTATAAGCCAGATGGAAGATGGCAAGCAAGCCAACGAGGGCTGTCTGGGAAAGCAGCCGCCTTTCTCCTCTATCCCCAAAAACCAAAAGAAAAAAAGAGAGGGGGGGGAAAGGCATAAGGGGTTCGAGACTGCGATCCGAGTTCCCGAGCAGTAGAAATCCGGGAGTCCCTGCGAGCCCGGCTTTGCCCGTGGGAGAGTGAAGGTGGGAACCGCTCGTTGCCTTGGCGTGAAGGGAGGATGGAGGGGAGAGACTGGAGTGAGCGGGTCTGTGCGCGGTGCGGGTAGTTCTTGTTGATGTGAGTGCGTGTGAGTATGTGTTGTGTATATACGGGATCCAGGGGAAGCTCAGCTTCGCACAGACTGCCCGAGTCTGTGAGAGCCCTCCTGAAATAGGAAGAGAGAAATCCTGGAGACACGGTATGAGAGAGGGAGGGAGAAAGAAGGCGAGAGAGAGGAGAGAGAGAGAAACGTGCTACACATTGCATAGCCGGAATACAGAGGCCGAGCGGAAGGAAAAACCTGGAGTGGATTTCTTGGCTTGGCCCAGAGCTTAAACGAAACGTGCCGGAATCTATCATTCCCTGGTACCCTTCTCTTCACATTCCCGACCCTGCTCCTAATTCCTACCTTAGTTGAAAAATTAAGTATTATAAGAAAACTGGAAAGAATTGAAACTAGTAAAAGACAGAACGTAAGATGTAGAATCGTTCTTCCATATATATTGTTATGCAAAACTCCATTTTTTTTTCATGCATAGAGTTCAGAATACAGATTAATTTGTTGTTTTTTCTATGGTCATGACTTACGAAGAGGGAAAAAATTGCAAATTCTACGGCAAACACCAGAGTGGAAGAGTGCAATTTTTGGCTTTTCTTGTGATGATTTTCTTTTCTTTTCTTTTTCTATCACAGGCAGCAGAACCCCAAGGGAACTTGACACGGAAACAATCTGTCTTGCGATTTTTGGTCCTTTACTTCATAAAGTTCTGTGGGTAGCCTTAGTTTAGCAATCCGCATAAATAGATTTCCAAGGTGCCAAAGGAACTCTGAGAGCAAAAGGGAAGAAGGAGCCCATGGGAAGCCCAAGGCAAAGGGAAGTATAAAGAGTCAGTAATGGATGATTTAAAAAGGTCGTTGCTTTCTCCAGATGTTCTCACGTACAGACTTTTCATTTTCCTCCAGTCTTGCCAGATAGACTTCCTGAGTGAGAAATCTATCCTCTCTCTTCCTTTAGCCTTTCTATTTATTCCAAAAATCTGTAAGAAGGGATCAGAATGAAAGTTCACTTTACCAAAATTTTGACTGTCATTCTTCCACTAATTGGCAACCTGAATTGCCAAAAAAACAAAACAAAAAAAAAAAACAACTCTACAGGTCAATGGTGTCTAAAACAGATGAAACTATCATATTTTGGAGTTTGGACACAGAAATGTTTGTTTCCATTGAAGCTGACAAAATAATACAATTAAAAGCTAAGGCAGGCTTACTTGTGGAACAATATGTAGGTTATTATGACTGTGTAACACAAACTCCTGGAGGACAGAAGCTTAGATCTTTGTAGTTCATCAACAAAATCAATACATGCAATGAGATAGCAAATCATTTTTGCTGATGTTAATAATGGCCATGAGTCACTCAAGTCACCATCATCATCATTATCATTATCACTTTTTGATCTTTCTCCTTCCTACCGACCAAGACCCAGAGCCTTCCAGTTTTAGTTCTCCAAAAGGGATCCCATGATTTATAGCTAATATGATTTAATATTGGAAAATTTGTTGTTAGGTCCTTTCATGACCTCATTTTGGTGTTTTCTTGATAAAGATACTGGAGTGCTTTGCCATTTCCTTCTCCAGCTAATTTTACAGTTTAGGAACCGAGGCAAACAGAGGTGAAGTGACTTGCCCAAGGTCAGTCAGCTTCTAAGTGTCTAAGGCCAGATTTGAACTCATGAAGAAGAATCTTCCCGATTCCAAACTCAGTGCTCTATCCACTGCTGCCCTAATGTTGGAAAATGTATATACAGAACCTTACATCTGAATTTAATTAAAAAAAAATAACCTCAGTGGCTGAAACTTGACCACATCACCTAATCTTGAGATTCAGTTTCTTCATCTGAAGTATGAAGAAGCTGGACTAGTGAGAGTAATGAAGTAATAGAACCTGGAATGTGAATGGTCCTTTAAAGTTATCTAGTCCAATATATCTTATTTTAGAAATAAGGAAATTGAAATTCATAATGGTGAAGATACTTCCCCAAATTGCAGCAAACTAATAAAATCTTAGACTTAAACTTGAGTCTCGTCATTTTCTGTTTAGTTTGCTTCCTACTCTCTCAAAATGGTGAATTCTATGATTCTGTCATCCAAAATCAGTTTTCAACCAAGTTTTAAGTACATGATTAGTTGGGTTGGGAAAGAGTAGACTGTGCCTTTAATCCTTGTTTTTACACTTTCCCTGACTGCTGAGTAGTTGGATAGGGAGACAATAGCATTCCTAAAGAAAACTTAAGAAAATATGTTTTAAGGATACCACATTCCTCTTATTTTTATGCAGTCAAAATAAAGAAAGAGGGTCATCTATGGGACCATTTTCAGTGAATCTAATAGGAAAGAAACTTAGTTTTTCTTTTGTCAGTCCATTTCTTATATTTGAGGTAACTGTACTTAAACACATTAGCACATATGTGAATAGTGATATTATCATGCTTATAGAGTGCTTTGAAATCCTCACTTAAAAATTACTCTAATGGATCCATTTTCTCCTCCATGTTGCTATTCCTTCTAATGATGAATACTACAACCATTCCATGTCTGCCCATCTTGTGAGACCCTCATCTATATCTTGCCATAATTGTGCTACATACAGTGAGCTAGAGGCCTTTTTCACAATTTCTCCACATTGCATGGATATTTTGCTGTGTGACCAAACTATCTTTTTTTTTTTCTGGTCATACATTTATTTATCTGTTGGTGTCTTTTTTTGCCACTTTTGCTGTGCAATTCCTTTTATTTTAATGTGTTACAATCTATTCACACCCACCCTTCACCTCTCCATTGCCCTTTGGGTAATCTTCAACTATGATTCTTAGCAGATTATAGTATTCCTTGACTCACAGAGCATATAACGTAACCAGAAGAATATTGGAGTTAAAAAAAATTACTGTACTAATTCTGAAAGGCAATCCAACCCATCTTTTCAGCCTGTGGAATTCATGACCCATTCATTGACCATTTGTGACATCTGTGCAAGAGACTTGTTTTGATAGACTCGTTCCATTCAAATTCATTGTCTACTCTGGACAATAGGAATTCTGTATCCACTTCCCCCCTCTGGATATCATAGGATCATAGAATTAGAACCAGAGGAGATCTTAAAAGCCATCAAGGCCAACCTCCTTATTTTATAGATTTTATAAAATAAGTGTAAGAGTGGATAGAGGATTGGATGAAGAGTCAGGAAGATTTGAGTTGAAATCCAGCCTCTGACAAACACTAGTTGTGTAACCTTGGGCAAGTCATTTGATTTCTATCTATCTCAACTTCATCATCTGTAAAATGAGGATAATAATAGAACTGACTCCTAGAGTTGCTTAGAGGATCAAATGAGATATCATTAAAGCACTATATGAATATTTACTGTCATCATTATTTTTTTAGTAGTGATTTGTCTAAGGTTCACATAGCTAATAAATTTCTGAAGTGCAATTTGAACCCAGGCCTTGCTAATTCCCCATCAAGTACTTCATTTTTCACAATTCTATGCCATGTCTAGTTAAGCCAAACTCATTTTAAGTGACTGTGGATCTCCTCTACAAGACAGCAGCATCCCAGGGCATGAGGAAATCAACATAATGAACGTCTGGGGTTAAGCTACTCTTTCATTTAGTCTCCACACTTTGCCTCCTTTCTTTAATTCCTCACTTGATAATAATCCAAAGGCCAAAATTATGTCTGTTGTTACATATTTTAGTTAATTTTGTTTGATTTTGGCATGTGCATGAAAGATCCCCTGTTAAAGAAGAATTTTTAAAGCAGACTTCTGTTCCATTGTATCAGATGGGGTTTTTTTTGTAGTATACAAACATATAAACATAATGAAATTTTATATCCTTCACATCTTTCAGTCAATTGTGCGATTGTAAAATTGTGATCTGTTGTGGAATATCATTTGTAAAGTTCATGTGTTCTCAATACCACCAACAGGAATGGCTATGATGACTGTGTATGTTACTCTAATAAAACTTGTATATATGAGAAATTAGGCCTATGTCAGTTGCTTGGTTCCCCCTTTTGGATAATAATAAAAGCTGTTTGTTGTTTTTACATTATCTCTCTTTCTCACTTTTAGATATCTTGAGAATTGTTCCCTTGATGCTCTTTAAATTGTGTCAACATGAGCATGGAATTTCACATACTCTAATGATTTTTCCAATTTGTGTTTTCTTTACTATCATTTTCTACTACTTCTAGAAGTACACAGACCATGATATTAGACTGTAAATGTGGTAGTTACAATGTCCTTATTTATATAAAAAAAGTTCATCATGGAAAACAATTCTTACAGATCTTTTCCACTTTCTATTTGTTGTTATCCTTTATTCATTTTCATCCTTCAGCTTTGAGGATTATTTTCTTAGTTGGGTCTTTCACTAAATTTCTTTAAACCTTCCCTTTCTTTTACTCTTTCATGTTTTATGAGGCAAAACTATTCATTATTATCTACCATATTTCTCTGTAAGATTTTACCAATGAGTTAACATGACAAAATAGGAAAATAATAAATGTTAAAGAAGATGTGGGAATATTGGAACACTAATGCATTGTTGGTGGAGTTTTGAACTGATCCAACCATTTTGGAGAACTATGCCCAA